ACCTATGAAGTTAAAGAGAGTTTACCCGAGTAAGAATTAATGAAAATGCATGGTTTGACTGTAAAAAGAATCACCTGTGGCTCAAAATCATCAGACAAAAGTATGTTTGACGACTTAACGTCTCTATGAATCACAGGTCGATCTTCTTTGCGGTTGTGAAGATATTCCAAAGCCTCAGCCACACCAATAGCAACTCTAAACCTCTCATTCCACCCAAAAACCAGTGGTTCCTTTTTATGACCTAATTTTTTTTTTAAAAAAAAATATATAAATATCTCTGAAAAAAATAAGGACAAGATCAAATTTCGACAAAATTAACATTTCATATTTGCAATGTTCTGTACCGTGAAGATTGTCCTCAAGGCTTCCTCTTGATAGAAAATCATATACTAAGAGGAGATTCTTCTTATCCTCATAACAGAATCCGAAAAGCGAGATGATGTTTTTGTGATGTAAGGCTGTAATGATCTCGATTTCTAAAACGAACTCTTTTACAGCATCTTCTGAAGTCTTCAAGATTTTCACGGCAAGTTCCTTGCCGTCCGGAAGGTAACCTCTGTAAACCCGACTGCTGCCTCCTTTACCTATCATATTCCCTGCATTTTTCACAAGAAAGAAAATAATTTATTTAACAATCGGTGTCCTAAAACCTACCTTATAACTCGCTCACCCAAACAATCTCTAGTCAGTTTACGCAAATTTCAGCTCAAAATTTCATTTTCTATAAAAATCAAGAAATGAATGAATTTTCAAACCACTGCTAGCTTCTGATACTCAACAGCTATTACTTATCATTCCATCTACCTATAAAGCACTACCCCAAACTGCAATAAAATAAATAAAAAAAAAAATGACTAAAGTGCAAGTAAAACCAAAAACCTGGAAAGAAATTGGATGTGGCCTTCACGAGCTCTTGAAAACTAAACAACCTACAAGTGGCCGAGTATTTCTCTACAAGACCTTCAAGCTCCTCCGGCAAGCCTCCCGATATATTATCCGGCGACATTTGGACCCAAAAACTCTCGTTTCCAACCGGAACAATCGCCCTCGATGAATTTTCACGTTCACAATCCAAAATATCATTTTTTGAGTTCTCGATTGCCAAACAGTACCTATTCGGCAGCCTCAGGGCCCACTGGACCACCGACATCTGCCTCACTTGCATATTATCATAAAACGATTTGTTTGAAACGACTGCTCTACGGAGCAAGGGCCATCCGGGTTTCGTTTCGGGCAATTCTTGTAATAGAAGAGTAATCAAGCTCGATGAAGCTTCTTGCTTTTGTACAGGAACTATAGCCATAGAGTAGTCGATTGTTTTGTTTTGATCGTCCGAGGTCTCATGATCTTTGTCCAGTCGAGTAAATGAGTCATCTTTGTTTGATCTAAACGAGTCTGGTGAACAAATTCGTTCGGGAGGAGTGTTTTTCTCATCCCAAGTCAACCTCGGCTTTTTTGAATTAAAATTATCACGAACTTTAATGTTCTTGCTGAAGGATCTTTGGATGGCTGTTAGTAACCGATTCCTACGGTGATGTTCGACTTCTGCTCATTGTTTTTTTAAAAAAAATATTAAAGAAGCGATGTTCAGTCTAATTACAGAAAACTAGAAAACTTGATCAATTTCTAGTGATGATTTAAGGGGAACAATACAATACCTTTAATGCTGACACGGGAGAAAGAACTTGATTCTCGGTGAAAGACGATTTTGCCATTGTTCACCGCGAATATCGAGCAATCCTTTGGCAGCTTTTTCGAGCAGTGTTTAGCAACAGAGGCCGACGAGCGAATTTTGTGGTGAGTTTGAGCGGTCCCTACAATAACCTCGGAAGCATTATAAGCTTTGGCTTCGCGGACAAGGATTTTCGGTACGGACGAGCCTCTGCAGATCTTTAGTTTGAGATCCACCTGCAGCATTCATTAGCATCAAAATCTCATTTTTTTCTTTTCTTTCAATATCATCAGTCATTACAAATTTCATTATTTGTCAGACTCCTACATTAATGTTACAATGCAAGTTTATCAATGTGAGTTCTAAAAATTAAGGCTGCTGTTAGGCCCATCTAACGGGTTGACCCGTCTAATGGTTAGACTACCTCATACGAGAATTGATAAAGAATTTAAAGTTGTTAATAAAAACTTGCAGATGCTATAAATGAACAAAAAAAAAAACACTTAAAAAGTCTTGGGTATTTACTGCCTGGATCCACCGTCCACCGACGCTGTTTTGAACTCACATTCTGCTTGCTTCAATACAACTTTCATTTATGTCACACACAAACACACAGTGTGACCATGCTGAAGGTGGAAAATGAACAAGAAAATTCACCATTTTTGTTCCGTTTAAACTTGAAAAACGTTGAATAAAACTGGAATTTGAGACCAGATGTTGATAACTACTTAACAAGAATCATTACCTCTTTCAAATTACAGAAACCTTCATAGACTTCGAGGATCGAGTCGAACGCTTTGACCATGGCGAGTAGGGACGATTTTCCATCACGGTTCACAATTTCTGCAAAACCCAATTTCATCAAATCAATTTAATCCATATATTTAAACTCATAAAGGCTTACACTTTAAGAAAGGATCAGTTTTAATCTGTAAATAAATGAGGGGGGGAATCCTGCCTTGATTGAAAAGTGAAAACTTTACCTTTTTTTAGTTCAGAACTCAACCAAGCTGTATATTCAACATTAAATTCTCCCAAGAAAAAAGGCAACAGCATTTAATCATCACAGAAGAAATAAATTAATAAACTTTGCAAACAGAGAGCTGCTTAAACTAACACTAATATTTAGCCAAAAACTGCATGGAACAGCTTATTGGTAATCTAGAAATCTCAGGACTTTGTTGTTTTAAAACAAAAATTTTTTAAATAGAAATCGAAAAAAAGGCAAAAGAAACAGACACACATAAACACACACTGCAATTAATTTATGCTCACCATTGTAGTCAAGAACATGAAGGGCAACCACACGGTCACCAGCTTCAGCAACCTTCACCAGAGCCCACGTCAGCAGCTCCCTGCTCCGCGCGTCCAGCTTCACCCCCACCACCACCGCACGCCCGCCGGAGCCCTCTCCGCCGCCGGCGACCACCATCTGAGTCATTGTTCAAGATTCCTCCTTTTTTTCCCCTATGTAACTTGTTTGCCTAAAATTTTGCCAACCCTTTTTAAGTGAGAGCTCAGAGAGAAAATGGGCTCCTATAAACAGGGCAGCGTTTCAGCTGAGGTTGTTATGAATATCTGCTAACTGAAATTTGTATGTGTAATTTTTTTTTTCTTTTCTTCTTTGGCTTTTTGGGTTTGATTTTCAAGAATTTGGCGGCGGTGGGGTGTTATTAAGGAAGTCATATGCCGGTATCTCTCTCTCCCTCTCTCTGCCCAGTGCCCACCAAGAATTAGATAGAGAGAGAGAAAGGTGTTGGTGGGCTATCAATGCGTCTTTAATTCAAGTGCGTGCAATGCTTTTGCTGCTCTTTTTTTTTTTCCTTTTTCTTTTTCATTCTTTTTTCTGAAAATTTGAGATTTGGTATCGTGAGCCGTGAGGGAGTGCTTTGGCCTTTTGGGATACGGAAGTAGGACCTAAAAAAACAAGTCCTCCTTTAAAAATAAAATATAAAAAATTAGGTTAAACATAATCGTTGAACAATAATACTTTTTTAATATATATTTATGTAATTTAAACTTATAGACCATATTTTAAAAAATAATGTAATTAAAATATTTTATAATATATGTTTCATTTTTGTTGAAAAAAAAAATATGATCAATCAACCCGTATAATGATGTAGTCGACTCACACAAAAAATCATGTATTTTATTTATTTTTCACATTAAATAGTTCATGTGAAAAAATGTGTCCAGTATATATGTATATTTATATAAATATATAAATTTATTTATTTATACATTTCCTATAATTTTTATCAACACTAAACTACCTACAATAATCCCCACCAATACACAGTACTTTTACATACAAGCTCTTCTAATTAGACTAATACTCAAAAGTGCTTACTATGTCAACATACAGAGAGGAGGGGAATATAAATTCGAGATAAAGAACAAAATGAAAAGATTTTTTCAAATTAAAGAGTAAAAGTAGCAAAAAAGTTGAATAGAGGTAAATTATAATATTATTATATATGGATAAATGTAAAGTTAATAAGTGGGGTAAGTTTTAAGGATTTTGACCATATTATATTTTGTTCATGACTGTATGAATGTAATTTGGTTTTTTTTTTTTCCCTTTATTTCTAGTTTTGAGGCTACTGGAATATGATATTTTCCATGTGATTGAGAACATATATAGGAGGATTAATATAATCATAATACATTGGTTTTGCCAACAAATGAACTAATAATGGCTCAACTAACTTTTATATGGAAATTAATCATAATTATATATTCATGGAGATTTCGATATAATTATAAAATTGAAGTTTAATACAATTAATGATTTACCTATTCAAATTTAATACAACCAATTTACCAAACTAATTATGTATAACTTAAAGTTATCGTGCACATTTTGATTATTTTTTTCATCGAAAAATAGACAATAAAACAGGTTATTTTTGATCTTGTCCAACCTATGTACACTAGAGTTGGCCGGATGAAAAATGCTACTACCAGTCTTAGTTATTAAATAAACAACTTAATATTTGGAAAAATTTTAAAAACCATCACTTAATTATTGGGTGTCAATAATAGTTAAATGAAAATTCTAACTTATCAATAATAATCCTGTAAATATTTTAGACTAATTTAAGGATAGTTTTGGTCAATAATATATTTTATCGGAATTTTAACGAGACACATAGGCATAACATGATGAAAAAATTGTTTCCATAGTTGTCAACTTTAGATATTACTAGACTACTTTCTGAAATTCTGAAAAAAATTCGATAAAAATAGTTTTGCTACACCTGAAAATTAGGAGGAAACTATTAAAATTTTGCCTTTTATAGTTTTATTATCTTGTGCAAGCAATTAGAAAAAAAAATAAAAAATTATATGTAAAATATTACTCGCACGTTTAGTACGGTACGTACGTTAAGTGATTTAATCAACTTTGTTTTTTCGGTAGGGGAATGTCAATTAAATAACGTAAGATAGTTGTGAAAGTAATTTTATTAAGTGTCAAAGGAATGTATGGTTGGTTATTATTGTTGACAAGTGAGCAACAAATTATTAAGAAATTATTACCAAAGAGACCAAATTATTTTGACTAAAATAATTAAAACCAGAAAGTAGATTGAAAGTTGGGGTGGCATTGTCAAATAAGGTAAAAGGAGGCTTCACAGTTATGTAATTACAAGTCCAATCCAAGGAACAATTAGGCTGTGGTTTGGCTTGTATTTTCATTTTTTTATTTTCTTATTTTGGTTCAGTTAGATCAAATATAATGATTAAATGTAATGATTAAAGTTAATTTAATAAAAAATTTGAGATAATGAATTGTAGTTGGATATTACTATATTAGAGGGTAGATATTTTTTAATAACTGATAAGTATTTCCTAAATTGTAGTTGGATATTACTATATTAGATTAAATGTAATGATTAAAGTTAATTTAATAAAAAAATTGAGATAATGAATTTAAATGTTTAGTAGCTAAAACTATATTATTTTAATTATAAATTTTGTTGATTATTATATAATTATGTTGATAAAATTGAAGAATAAAACAGTAAAAAATGCTATATATTAATTTATTTTTTACAAACAAAAAAAGTGATATTTAATCCGTTCAAAAAATAATTAAATATCCATGAATTTTAGAAAAGGAAATTGTATCTAATAGATTGTGTTTTGTTGGTTTAGTAAATGCCTTTTTCACGTGCTGGGGCCGGGCAGGCAACACAGTGTCCATTATCATTTCAGTATTTGGCTATTTGCACTAAAATCTGAGTGAAACATAATATTTCTATAGTTGAACATAACTATAATGAAACAATTTTTAATCATGATTAGAAGCAATATTTAAATTTGGGGCTATTGAAACTCACATGATTACCAACAGTATTAAAGATGAGGAATCTAGCCAGTGAAGGCATTGCATGCTTTGGTTAGTTTGGTATTATTGATTTGTTGATTATAGTAAAGGCTGAATTGAACTAATATGAAATAATTATTTAGTCATAATAAGCTAGATTAATTTTTAATATCATAAGTTTGGCAAAGGATGTTTGGTGTAATCCATATCTAAGTAAGGTAAAGAGTTAATTTTATTGCTGTTGCATGTACTTTAATTAAGAGTGTTTAACAAGTTTCTTGTTAGGAAAATAAAACAGGACATAATAACAGAAGAAACATAATGCCAACAATTTTGAAGTCAAGTACTTTGATCCATTTTTACATATTCCATAGTTTGACAATATTCACTCTCAACTCTCAAGTAGTTGTTAGTCCTTTTCCATATGCTATAAAATTACTATTGACTCTCTATTTGTTTCATATTAAGTATTGCATAAGTTAAACTTTACTCGCATGAAAAATGTGTTTTAGGCATTTTTTCTCAAAACAATAAATACTACTAAGTAATCTGAAATAAGGTACAATCGCTAACCAAATGGTTACAGGAACAGTCTTACTGTCAAGTGACAAAGAAAAACGTCATTTTAACATAAACAATCTCCCTCTACAGGGAACAACCCTACAAAAGCACCCAAACAAGAGAAACGAAAAACTTCATAGATGTGACTTAACTACTTCATAAATGACACTAAAAAACTCCACAAATGGAGACTAACAACCAAAAAGCAACAAAACAAAATAAAAACAAACTAGTAAAAGAAAGATAATAACTATAAATTAAAGTCCTCCCTAGCTACCAACAAGCTTTGCCAATGCCACCATATGAGCCAGCGAATCGAAATCGGTGAAAAAATGTGTGGAAAAATAAACAATGAACCTAAGTTGAATAAATTTGTGAAAAAAAAATAGCTAGAGCATATCTGCCTGAACTTATTTGATATGTTATAACTAATCAGGTCATGTACGACCTAAAGAGTTGTCCGACTCGAGCAGGTAAATCGGTAGGTAGGCTAGATAGCAAGGAGACCGGAGGTCGAGGAATCACCAGGTCGATGATGACATCGAAGGTAAGAGAAATCGCGTCAACAGGTCGAGCTAGGGCTCTCGGCTAGCCTAATATAAACTCGACCTGGAGATCTGCAGATCGATATATAATCTAAGAGGTAAGCTCATGCACTGAAGGTTGAAGCAACTTGGTTCAAGAGATCTGAGCTGGTAGCAAAATTATACTAGCTATTTAATGAGGTAGTCTAAAGTATAATACATATATTACTTGCTGCTTCAAATTTTGGCCGGAAAAAGCACGAATGTTGCCGGAAAAAATGAATTATTGGCCGCACAAATTTGACGCCAGAATCACTTCTTTGGCCGGATTTATTGTTGCCGGAGTTCTTCTCGCCGGATTTAGGTCGCCGGAGAGACCGACCTGCAAAAAAAAAATGGAAGCAGTCGCCGGAAATGGAGGAAGACGGGAGAGTGACGGGAGGGAGGGAGAAAGAATGTAGAAGAAGATTGATCAAAAAGTAATAAAATATTATTATGTGTTGTGGTTGGTGGAAGAGAAAACAAATAAAATAATATGTTACTAGGATGATGTAATAAAACATTTTAGTTTTGATTTAATTTTTACATTAGGGAGTTAGGAGGAAGAAAATTAAGGAATTAGGGAGTTGAAAGGAAGAAATAAAGGTATGGAAACTGAGGAGGAAAATGAAAAGCACTTAGGGATTTTAGGTGAAGTTACCCTTTTGTTGCCGATCTATGTTTTGTAGGCTTAATACACACTATTGGTGAAAAATCTCCAATCTAATGAAATTTAGTTAATTTTGTTGGATCTTCTTACAGTTTGAAAAAAATCTAAATTTATATGGAATGTTTAAATTATTTTGTCAGATAAAATATTGAAAAATCCCGACTACACAATCATGTGAACTTTAGTTAACTTTTTCGAAAAATCACAACCAATTGGTTATCGAAATTTATCTAACTACAACACCTTTTTAAATGAATTCTTTCCATTATTTTGTACACACACAATATTATGAGTTAATATATTCTATCATAAAACTCAATACTCTAATTAAAAATATCTACCATAAACTTTACCGATAATACTGTTTGCTTACTAATTTATTTTCTAGATTGAATATATAAACCAATAAATGTATGTCCTCATAAAAATAATGGTCATAAAAATTAAAATCTGGATTAAAACTTATATGCTAAATATTAAAATTTAAAACGCATCTAACTCATTCCTGTTATTTTTTCACATATACGTACAAATTAATCCTAATTCTATAATATCATATAAATGACATATGTTTCATGATCAGCTAAGAGTAATATGAGTTACAATATATATAATTTTTGTAGGACTGGCAAAATTTGCATATTTTATAAAATGCAGAAATTATGTTACATTTATATATTATTTATATTAAAATAAGTTGCATCCGGTATATCTATGTCGAAGTTACAAGATATGTTTAAAATATAAATTAAAACCCCGTCTAAAAATTTTGGAATTACTAAACTTGATATTTTTTATTTGTTTTTTTTTTTAAATTTAAAAAAAAAAACACTCGACTTTAAAAGTAACTAATCAATTTGTAGTATAAAGTTGGCAAAATTAATAAGTTCGATTGTGGTATACAGTGGACAATTTTAATTGAGATATCTGATGATGAGTTTTATTTTTAGTAAAAATATGTTATTATTAATAAATGTCTGAGTTTTACGGTATAAAGTGAACGATATTATTTTGGTATAGAATGTTTAAATTTAATTGGCATGGAAATTACTTGGATAGAAGTGTATATGGAAATTTTGAAAATAAAATAAGTGGTATGAATTTTATTTGGTATAGATATGAAAGTCGAATTTTAGGTTGATTTGTTATAAAATCAATGTGATATGATTTTCTTATTTGGAATTGAATATGGTCTTTGCATGCTATAAAGTTTTGAGTTAATCCAAAAATATTACGTACCAAGTTTTGTAAGTAAATACATATAAACAATTTCAGTCGGAAAAATATTTATATATCAAGTTAAAAAATATATTATACAAAAATAAGTTACAAGACGTTAATTTGTATATTTCATAAAATTGATTAAATTTATTGATTTTTACCATAGTTTAAGAAGTTAAAAAAAAAAAGGAGGTAAAACATTAAATTAATGGTTGGACAACTATAATAGTTTATCGTCAACATACAACACCCAACTAAAATTATTTTAGAAAATCTTATTATTGTTTTTTACTCATTCTATCAACCTCAATTCAAATATATAGTTTTACCAAACTAATTATTATGTGGAATTACATTGTAGTTAAATCAAATGTTTGAATAAAGATTTTAAAATGACACTTATTTTAAAATTAATATAATATCATTTATTATCAGTTATGTATACCGTACGGGTTGTGTACTGATTTTAAATAAACATGTTTTATGTAATTTTTACAATTTAAATTGCATATAAAATTTTTATAAAATAATATAGGTAAATTATATAACATATTGATTCCATTTTTTTTTTATTTATAAAGACTATTTAATGAGGCAATTTAAATTTATAAATATTAACGAACATATCTTACCCGTGCATCGTTCGGGATTCGTACTAATTAAAGTCTCAAATTGAGAAAAAATATTTTTCAGGCCCAAATTTGATAGTTTACCCATATTTATATTGAAAAAACTCCTAAATTTTAACATAATTTTATAATTTAATTAATTTAAGTGTTTTATAAATTTAAACGTGATGAATAAAAACAAAGTCCGATCCCCAAAAATTGACAAGGACTAGAATAATAGACAAGAATTAGAATTACAAACCAACGAAAATTGAAGACTATAACTCTAACCATAGGAGTAAAATAACATATGCATTGAAGACTATAACTCTAACCATAGGAGTGAAACAACATGTGCATTTATATATAGCAAGGATGGACGCGAGGGATATGTTAACTACGACAAATTATATGCAGATCAAATTATAAGTAGGGGAACATATATTTTGTTTCCATGTTGCTCGATCTTCCTTTCATATTCTTGTACAAAAAAATAATATTAATTATTATAATTCGCCATCAAGAATCCTTGTGGAACTCAGATTTATACATATGCGAGGACTATAAATCATATCCGTCATGCTTTTATACTCGAGATTTATATTTAGCCAAACAACCACCATTGAGTAATTTTCGCTCATGCTACGCTATGGAGAAGTCGATGTTGAAGACGAACAGAAAAACACAAGTTCCTCTGCTCATGACCTCGCACACCAGAGCCCACGACAAACATTCTATCTATAGCCTCTCCGGCAACTGGTCTCGCACGGTCTCCATCGCCAATTTCTCAGGCAAGCGCGTGCTCGGCTCCAATCACGGCTGGCTGGCCATGGCCAACCCCCTCACCGACGAGTGCCTCCTCTGGAACCCAGAGCTCGCCAAGCAAATCCCTCTTCCCCGACTCCGCGAGTCGTCTCACTACAACAGATGCGTCCTCTCGAAACCCCAGACAGAGCCGGGCTGCCTTGCCGCCTTTGTCGGCTCGTGTGGCTTCAATCTGTCCGTGTGCGTGGTCGGGGCCCACGAGTTCGCCAACCGGTCCCTAATGTACTTCAAGACCACCTCCACAATGGTGGCCATCGGCGCTCTCCACGAACAAATTTACGGTGTTGTCTACTCCATGCTCGACGGCTATCAGCTCGTGACCGTTGGTCTGGTCGACGGGCCAACCATCACAATCGTGCCGTTAATGTCGGCCGACGGGTCGGGCCTCTGGATACCGCCCCTATTGGAACGGAGATGGACTGGCCTGCGTCCCGGCTACCTGATCGAGTCGCCAGCTGGCGCGGGCAAGCTCCTCCTTGTCATGAAGGTGTTCTTATTTGGCTACCATGCGGATAAGGAGAATGATGGCATGGTGTTTCGTGTTTTCCGAGTAGATGTGGAGCGGAGGGAGTGCGTGGAGCTCGACCAAATAGATGGGATGGCGGTTTTCATCGGCTCCTGCGGTAATGGGTTCTGCCGTCGGTCGGGCTCTGGGGGAGGAAGCAAGCCCAATTGCATATACTATGCCAACAAAGAGGGCCGGCTGGTTTATGTGTATGATTTGGGGGATAGGAGCACAACTCCGCTCTTGCTCTGTCCCGATGCAAACCCACGTGGGTCCACTAACTATTGGATCGACCTCCCGGACAGTCCCTGATTCTCGGCAATCAGATCGAAAATTATCAGTATCATTGAATCACACACCAAATTCATCAATAGCAACAAGTGAAGCTCATTGACAAATTCATCGACTAAGAGGAACTATATGCATGTGATTTATTTGTTTTTCATCTTTATTTATCTTAATTCAAACGTGCATGCAGCTCAGCTCTGAATTCATAGTCTGGACTCAACCGGCCAACAATATGAACAATTTAATGATATATCATAACAAGTTAACAACAGAAGAGATTATTAGAGAAATCAAAGTTTCATGTTCCTATCGAGCGCCAAAATACACAACCCATCCCTTCAAGTTTCACACATTGGCAGAAAACTAGATAATCCTGGACAATATAAGCTGCTGCAGCAATAAGAGCACTTAAAAGGAAAGTTAGAGGTTCCAGGCTTGCCCATCAGATACAATATCTGTTATTTTAAACTAGCTTCACTTAAACACAACATCAGAAATTGAAATCTAGAAAATCAAACCAAAAATCAATACTTTTTGAAAAATTTGGGTAAGATAAGAATTTTACATTCATTCACCGGAATAATAATCTGTCAGGGAACTGAAAGTTACTACAAAAATTTCGATCCTTTTCGAGTATGTTACTTATATAAGAACTCCAAGAATAACCTACTGGGTTGAAGGCATCGAAATAGCTGAAGAATAGGAATGCAAGATGCCAGCTAACTGCTAACCTTTTAAAACACAACATTTTATTCATAAGAAAGTGAGCAAAATAATCAAAGAACTAAACTCAGAGCTCTAAACGAGTCAAAGGAAAACAAATTTTTAAAACCCTGTGTTTGACAAACCCATTATGCCACCGGAGACTTAATCCAATCCCAAAACATCCACACAGATTCTTCATGACCATAATCAAAAAATGACCAACGTCAATTGTAAAATTATCCTCCTTGAGAAAATCCAAAATGCATGGATAAAAATAATCTATGGGAAAAAACAATGTAAATGTGGGAAGAGTAACTTATACCATAGATTTACAGTAAAGAGCTACGAAGCTAGTTTTATCTCTGCCATTGCAGATTTTATAAAATTTTCATCTACTTTCTCCTGCATCTGGCATCACAATTGATAACTTCATGGGGCATATCGGTTAGGTACTTAATGCTGTAGGTAACCTTAACCAAATACAGTACCAGTATTGCCAGATGAAAACCAAAAAAAAAAAAAAAAAAANAAATGAACCATCAAGTTGTAAGAAAAGTCTGATCATCATATATACCCTTTAACATCAAATCCAAGATCCGCCACTGAATTTACTGTCGACTCGAAGAAACAAGCCAGGAGTAATTACGGCTCAAAATTCTCAGTCAAATTTTCTCCTTCAGCTTCAAAGTTAACGTGAACTACGCGATCAATGTCTCTCATTTGCTTAGTCAGCCCGCCCAGCAAGGAGTATAACTCATCCGCTTGACTGTTTGAACTATCCTCGACCATAAAAGGCTCGAACCCATCTCCAGTATCAACCGAGGCACACCCGGGATCTTTCCTCACGCCCAAATCCCGCATAAAACTTCTCACTTTTGCCAATTTACCCCAGCAACCGGAAGCAGCATACATGTTCGCAATCAACACATAATAACCCGAATTCTGGGGTCTCATTTCTAAAAGCTTCTCGGCAGCCCATTCCCCAATATTAGTGTCCCCATGGATTCTACAAGCCCCGAGAGCGTGGCCCACATTTCGGGGGTTGGCTCGTAAGGCATCCCTAGGATAACATCTTTTGCCTTCCTCAGCAAGCCGGCCCTCCCATATAGATCAGCCATGCAAGAATAATGCTCCAGATCGGGATTTATGCCAAAAACAGTCACCATTTTCTCGAAGAACAATTGGCCTTGAACCACAAGGCCTGAATGGCTACAACCTGACAAAATAGCAACCATCGTCATGTTAGAGTAGAATGCCTGGCGTTCCAATCAGATTGGATTTATTTCTACTTATAAAACTATTCATTGGAAATTATATTATTTTGAGGCATAACTTTATCTTATGTATTTGCATTTATCCTATATTTTCACATATGATAAAGTCCTTAGATCATTATTAGCTATGAGACATGGTTGCGCATATGATGGCAATCATGGAACGTGTCTTTAAAGCTGTGATCTTAAATAAGTTCCAGGTCGATGGGTGTTTCGAGACAGGACGTCGAATAACCCGGTAAGACTTGTGCATATGATGTATGCTCATCGGATAAGAATGTTGCATTCCATCAACATTAGCGTGTGGACGCGAATGCATATATGCGGGTGCTTGTTGGAGAACAAGTTCACTGAACATGGCCCGATGAAAATTCTTAACTGGAAGTTTTAACTGTCGAATAAGAATTTTCATGTTGCAATAGTACACGACTGATCCTCTGACTTGAGGCACGATAGTAATCTTGTGCATGTTGTGTTTTACTTTGATTTATCCTTTGATTGCTGGACAATCATAAAAGGGATATTTTGGGTACTGTATTAATATGTATGGAGATTTATCTGTGGCCAACAAAGAATTCGACACTTATGTGGATAAGTGATTTTCCTATGTTTTTCATAGTTTGTGATTTAAAGACCTTGGCCAAGGCAGGATGAATATGGATTCATAAACGAATCACTAAACTTGAAATGAATTCATAGTTATTAAATCAATTGGGTTTCGACTTATAAATCCATGCCCAAGATTTAATCGGGAAATTAGTTGTCGAAAGAATTTTACATGTATGCACATGTAATTGAAAATGTTTACTCGCTATTTCACTTAACACTAGATGATCATGCTACTTGGTAGGTGTTACCATGATTTGTGGGTTCTTGAAATTAAGGAGTTAATTTCAAGAATATAAATTAATTAGATTAATTTAAATTACAAACGAGTTGTAAACCCACTACTAGTGTTAATCGTGAACCTAAAAGGGTCACACCAAATTTTGGATGATGACAATTTTGAAATTGGTATTTCGAATAGTTGGATTAATTGACAAGTCTTAATTAAATAATTTGATTATTTAATTAAAGTCTAATTTTGATTAGATGTCAATTAAAGGAATAAAATAAATTAATCAATTGGATTGATTAATTAGGCTTTGGATATTAATTAAGTAATTATTGGAATTACTAAATTAATAGTTGAATTTTTAAAGTTGGACTTTAAAATTTCAAATCCAAATATTAATATGATTATATTAAAAGCCTTCATGAGAAAGGAGATTTTATTTTTATGGGAGATAAGATTTTGATAAATTAATTTTGAAAGTTAATTTCATAAATTATAGTCATTATCTTTTATTAATCTTTAATTAAAATTAAAGATTAGATTAAATAATAAAAATGTTTGCCAATTGTTAGTCAACTAATGCACATGTATTTGAACATGTTATTTAATAAAAATTGGTGGATGTTATACCTAATGATGACATAAATATATTTAAACTAAATTGGGTGGAATATGCCAACCCATACTACATGCATAATGTTTTTAGTATATATATAATATATATATATGTACATATGAGATGTACCAAGAGCATATACAAGATGTAGTTCTCTCATTTGAAGAATGAGTTCTTCATGCAAGTGTTGAAAAGCTCTCCCACAATTAGTTTTGAAGAAAGAGAGTAATAGTTACTCTTGGCTTCTTCAAAGAAAAAAAAAAAAATGAAAAATCTCCTTTCAATTTAATTCCTTATACCAATTCAATTCCGAAAAATTTCTACTAGCGAAGAAATTATTATTGGAGCCAGAATCCAAATGGGTGGACTCGATTAGAGGGGAGACACTTGGATCCCTTAAGGAGTAAGAAGAAGGTGATAGCCACATAACCGGGAATTGATTTCCTCTTCATCGTCGCTATTTGAAGAAAATTAAAGGTAATTTTCGAAATTCTCTACAAATCAAAATTCGTAATTTTACGTGATTTTAAAAGATGACGATCATTTTATTCGCTATATGTACTTACGGATTAAGTATTTATTTGATAAATGATAATTATATTGTATAATTTCCGCTGCGATTTTAATCCGTACAGTATAGCGAACCCAACACGCCACTCGATCAGGCTTTATTCCAGATCTTATCATTTGTTCGAATAACTCAACGCAACTTTACCATTGCCCTGCATGCCGTACCCAGCTATTATCGACGTGTACGAAACTGTATCTCTGTTCTCGAGCAAATCGAACAATTTTCGGGCAGTTGAAACTTTACCCGATCTTGCATACATATCTATAAGAGAATTCCAAAGCAACAGGTGACTCTGAAATTCTTCACACCTGCAAATGTAGCAGTGGAACTCTTTCCCATGTCTCAGATTCGCCACCCTGGCACAAAGGGGTAGAATCCCCGCAAGAGTCACGAAATTCGGTTTAATGCCGGCAAGCAACAGTTCTTTAAAGAGATACGTGGCTTCTTCAGGCCGGTCCCACTGTGCAAAACCGGATATGATCGAATTCCACGTAACTACACTTTTAGTTTCGGACAATCTGAACATAATATGCGCATGCGAAAGGTAGCCGCACCTGGAATACATGGTAATCAGTGCATTTTTCACATTATCAGTCAATGGAAGCATTTCAAATGGCCAATCCATGAATTTCTCTTCCTGTTCGCAGAGCACGAATATGAGACCACGCATTCAAGCCAATTATAACCGCCACAGGATCAAGATGCCCAACACTTTCTCTAATCTGACAGATCAATTCGAGAGCCCCCTGAAATTGCCTGTCTTTAAGAAACCTCCAGCCACAGTGTTCCATGTTATGATGTTTATGTCCATATGAGCTGCTCTCATCCTTTCGAAAAGCTTGAAAGCCTCATCCCAAAAAGCTCTAGAGGCATATTCTGAGATTATTGAGTTCCACGACACTTGGTCCCTAGTCGGCATTTTTTTGAAAATACTTCGGGAGGTTTCGAGATCCCCACACTTTGCATACATGGATACCAATGAATTCTGCACAAACAAGTCCCACCTGAGAAAGCTAGCATCAATAGATTTGTGAACTTCTCTTCCGAAATCAAGAGTAGATTGCTCGGCACACGCTTTGAGAACGGACGGGTAGGTGAAATGATCGGGCCTTACTCCCTTGTGAACCATTTGTTTATAGGCAAATATAGCTTCCTCAAAATGCCCTTTATTGACATATGATGAAATAAGGACATTCCAAGGTAAAGGATGCAAAATGTTCGAGCCTGCAGCTATGAAATGAGCTTCATCAAGAAAACCGAAAGCCGTGTAGTAGGAAACTAGTTTTGGGACCAATGCATGGTTATTTTGAAGACCCCATGTAATAATCTGGGCATGGAGCTGTTTGCCTTCTGGAAGCAACTTGTGATTGGTACAAGATAACAGCAGGGATGACAATGACCCAGCAATAGAATCACAAGAGGAAGATGCAATGAGCGAAAAAATCCTGAAGGCTTTGGACAAGTGACCTTGGCTAGCAAAGTCGTTTAACGTTGCGAGAAGGCTATTAACCATATAATTATCAATTTTGTCATATAATCTTGAAATGATTTCATGGGAGAAATAAGATTTCTGTTTGCTTTCCTTTTGGATATCCAACGGTTGTTTGTTGTTCTGTCTCCATTTCAAGGGAATGCATTTTTCAATTTGATTGATCGAAATGCCTCTCGCCGGCTTATGAAATGGAGGAGGCATACATAATTGATGACCGTAGAACACATAGTGACATAGAAATCCCGAGAGATGATATCACTGAGAAAACCGACGGAAAGAACAAACAGAAATGTTAAAACCGAGAGAAAAATCACCCAGGCCGGCCTAGCCGGAAATAGCAGACAGAGAGCTGCAAAATGCCTAAATTGCTCTGTTGGAAGAGAGAAAGGGAGTTGTAACATAGAATGGTTTGATATAATGAAACCGTAAAATCGGTACAAAACTAACTTTTCTTACAAAAATCATACAAAATCCTCCAAAAACCTGACCCGGACTAGAAACGTCTCCCTTGCAAAAGTTATATTCGCAACAGAGCTATGTATAAGTTTGTGTGTGAAATAATAATAAATATATATTTTTCTCGGCTTTCCGCCAATGAAATTCATTAGCAAACCAATCCCAAATAACTTTTTAGGGCTAGATGCCTCTCGTACATATCTTGTTGTTAGATTTATTAAAAAATCAATCTCAATCCTGAATTTGATACGAGACAAAAATATTACAACAGACTTGTACGCATTGTACATGCAAAACATTTATTTTACTCTTACTTTAATTCAATATATTATTTATTTAGATTCATAATCGAAAAATAATTTTTTATTTGTAGCCCATATAAAAAAAATAAAAATTAAAAGTTGCTCCTAGTGTTATAATGAGTTGGGCTCAACTCGACTTATTATTTAAAACATGACTTTTTATATATTTTTATAATTCGTCTCATTAAGTCTCGAACTCACTCGTTAATATTGATAAATGAGTTGAATCAAACTCGATTACTAACTTGGTAGTTAACGAGTTCGACTCGTTAAAAGCTCGAACGTGAGCATACCATGGCTCGAGCTCAGCTCAACTCAGCTCGTCTCATTTACACATGTAGTCGAGTCTTGAATTCCCAAATTTACCCATTAACAATTTCAGAAATTGCTCTTTGTTCTCACTTTGTGTCCAAAGGCCAGAGGGTATGCCGAGGAAGAAACAAAAAACAAGAGAGAAAAATAACAATGTAAAAACGACCCATCTGAAGTTGTCGGCTCCGCGTTTCCCCTTCAGAACAACATCGTGAAAACATTAAAAAAGTATATATATTCACCAAAATCTTTCCAGACCTGTAAGTACAATTTCCATTCTCACTCTGCACAAATCACTGTCAAAGTTGCGATCTTTTTTGGACAGCTGTTTGTTTGTTTATACATTTTGGGTTTCAATAGCCCATATTTTCACCACTGAGATTCTCGAAATACAATTGTACCTCGATCGAATAAAAAAATGAAAATTGAGGGGAAAAAAGTGGGGTTTCGTGAGTTCAACGGAACCTAGATTTTTTAATTATTTATTTAGTGTTCTGGTTAAATCTGGTATGGTGACTGCATTGGAAATGGATCCCGCTTGCTCTCACTGCTGAATTAGCTTCTCAACTCGATGCGCTTTTAGCTCAGCCGCGATCTGCTGATTGATAAGCTCTCTGCGTTCCGTCAAAAAGGGATTTCTTTAATTTCAAGGCTTTTTATGCCCATGCTCTTGTTCGACGTTTGCCCCTTCTCTCGGTAAGTATCTTCAATCGTTTTTTGAGTGCTGTTATGGGTTAATCTGGTCCACACTATAATGGGTTTGGCTCTATCGTGGGTCAGATTTGATATCATTTTTTTTTCTGGGGGTTGGTGTTTAATTCTGTTCTTGTGGGGCTTATTCAATATGCATTGTTGTAGGTTTGTAGGGTAAGGGGGGGGTACAGATAATGGTGTGGTCCGAAAGGATAAGAATGAAATCAAAGTTGAAATGGGCAGCACTTGGCGGGCTTGTGCTGTCATTTGCATCAATAATGGTGCATTTGTTCCTAGCTAAGTCGAGCACTAGATATGCGCAGTATGGTGTAGCCACAGCTTTCACTGAGGATCTGAATCCTGTTGAAAATCCCGGCAAAAAGGTAGAGGAAGCTCTTTAGTTTTGCATGCTTGAGATGATATTGTTTTTTGGTTTATTGAAATCCTTTTATATCTTGTTAATGTGTGGACAATGTTTTGGTGGGTGGTTTTGAAGGGTGTTGGGTATAAGAGATTGTGGGGGAAGGTGAACAGTTTGGAGCCATTGCAGCCGTATGCAAAACCGAGAAGTGTCCTTTATCCTGGTAATATGTATGATTTATTGCGATTGGGATTCGGGATTTTTCCTAGTTGTGGATTGATGCTAATTGGTCTCATTATGACTAAGATGTTTGCTTGAGTTCGTTGGGTTGTGGCATCCATAAGCGAATTCTATGTGTTTTCTGTTGCATGTTTTTTATATTGAACATTTGGTTTCACCCATAATGGATTTCATATTGTCAGTGATGCTAAATTCCAGTTATGTGGATGAATCACGCATATGTAATACTGTTGCTAATTACTACCCCACAAAGCAAAAGTCACATCTGTAGGCAAAATATACGTACATCTTTTTATCTGATTAAAATTGGTTGAGATTAATTGCAACAGTATCTGTATACACAGTTTAATTTATTAACATGCATGTGCTCTTGTAATTTTGTAAATATGTGCTTTATGTTGTTTCATTTCCCATGTGCCTCATTTTTTTTTTGTCTGTATATTTTTTGCATGTTTTTTTTTTGCTCTATTCGATTTAAGATTATCCTGCAATGTTGTTGAAGATTCACTTTCGACATTTGAAGATTACCAGTAATTTTTTACTTGTACTTACAATTGCATTAAATTCTGTATAGTGAGATCTTGACTCAGAAGCATTTAAGAATTTGATCGAGCTTCCACTCAATAACCATTGGCATATTGAACCGTGTAACTATGGATATACCAGAGAAACTCATCAATTTATTACTTTTCTCTAATTGAAATATTATGTGGAAGGGGGACTTGCCTTGTTACTGAAATGATCTCTCTGTTTGGCATCTGTCTCCTGAATGCAGTTCCGAACGAGCAGGGAAATGGTTTCATTTATGCGAAAATTCATGGTGGCTTTGAGAAGATTAGGACCTCGGTATTATTATTTTTATTATTTTTTTATTTTTTCTGAATTTTCCCCCTTTTTCTGTATATGAAGTTTGTAACGGTTTTTAAATTTTGCTAGATCTGCGATCTTGTTGTAGTTTCAAGGCTTCTAAATGCCACCCTTGTTATACCTGAGATTCAAGAAAGCACTCAATCAAAAGGCATCAGGTTCTTAACTTTGTTTTGGTTGTCTAATGACACTACAATTCATCGGCATTTCTAAGATAATACTAAATTGCGTTAAAACATTTTGATTTTTTTGCAGCTCCAAATTCAAGAGCTTTTCATATCTATATGATGAGGATAAGTTTATAAACGCTCTAGCCACTGATGTGATCATTTTGAAGAGCCTACCATCGAGCTTGAAGGAGGGCAGAAAACGGAAACTTTATCCAATTTTCAGGCCTAAAAGTTCTTCGTCCCCTAAATATTACTTGCATGAAATTCTACCGAAACTTAAAACTTCTAAGGTCATTGGGTTGGTACTTGCCGATGGCGGATGCTTACAGGTAGAAATAGTTCTTCGTACCACTCTCATCCTACAAGTCTTGCTTTGATTAGGGCTGCTCATTCGGTCGAAACCGAACAGAATTTTCCGGTTAACCAAAAATTCAGTTTATCCATTATAAGAACCGAAATCCGAACCGAAATTTACGGTTTGGTTCGGTTTTTAACCAAAAGTCTAGCGGTCGGTTTGGTTCGGTTGGTGTTAATCCCAATAAATAATTTATCGTTTCCATACATTTCGAATTTTTAACCGAACTGAAAATTTGATTTTTTATCCGAACCAAACCATGACTTTGACTATGACGAAGCCAATCTTGAGTGCAAATTGATGCTTGAGTTATTTTAGGGGTCATTACAGCTCGAAAATCATCAATCATTAAACTAGATTAATGCTTTTATAACTTATATTGATAATGCATACTAGTTCCTAACTTTTTAGGAATCTTTCACATGTTTTAGTGACTGATGTTTTCATTCAACATTGGTTTTTCTATATCTAGTTAGAGACCTTTATACGTCTAGCATAAATAAAACCAACTTTGAAGATAATTCTTTTGTATTTTTTCATCCAGTCCAACCTTCCTACGAGCTTGGTCGAGTACCAGAGGCTTAGGTGCCGAGTTGCATTTCAAGCATTGCATTTTCGTGCAGGGATTGTCGAACTTGCACATCAAATGATAGAAAAGTGAGTGAGCGCTGAAAGTTATATTTATTCTCAGTTATTTTGGTGGATTTTGAGTCTTTTTTAAGGTTATATTTATTCTCAGTGTTATTGAATAATTTGTGATCACTTTGCGTTTAGAAAATATTATCTGCAGCATGAATAGTTTTTAAGAGTTTCTTTTTTCTTTTTTTTTGTCTTAACTTATCAGATAATATTTTTACAGATCTAAAGCAGCTAGG